AAGTCGCGCGGAATCGTGGAATCCAATTTAAATAATACTATCCTTCCGGCAACTTCGACTTCGGCGTTTTCCCCAGGGAGAGCAAGCGACCGATTGCCCACCTCCGCATTCGTTGCCCTTTCCCCCTCTAACTATTCGTCCCAAAGGAGCTTAAAAAATGATCCGCCAAAAGAAATTACAGACGCGCGCGCGGTTCTTCCGTCGACATCTCTTTTCCTCTTTCTTCCCTTCCCTCCCTCGCTCCTCCCTCGCACTCCTACTCCTGCCCCCTCTTTCTCCCTCCCTCAATCTTTTTCTCCCTCAATTCCGTTTGGGACTGGATTAAATTCTCCATCGAATTCCGTAGCGTTCTCATCGGAAAAGAAGATTCGCCCAAAAACGTTCGCGCGCGAGCCAAGCTGTCGATATCCCGCAAAGCTTAACGCCGAGCAAGTTAGAAAATATCAACGACCTCAGCCAGATATTACGTAATTTCTTGAGCTTAAAAAGTAGCCACGACCGACCGCGAATGATAGTTTCTAGCGGCGAGTGAGAATGACAGCCGTATCGTTCGCGCGGAAATTATTTGCTAGACTAAATCCGGAATAGGGTATGTGAACGTTAATGGGAAACTTGAAAATTGAATCCACACATTAGATGCACGATCGAGACGCGATTACCTGGTCATTACACATTTCATCGTAAAAAGAAAGCTGAACAGTCCATAAGTATTTTACGATTGCTAAAGTAGAGAAGAAGAGTCTTCGTAAAATCTGTCTTTAATTTAGATCCAAATTCAACATAAGAAATCTATTCGCTTTTCATTAATTTTCTTGTTCTCAGGAATCAAGACTGTAAGATAATATTTTGAGATATAAAGTATCAATATATGTACTATATTGTATATAATAACCCAATTTAAATCACATTTATTTATATTTTTAAATAATAATAACTTATGTAATATATTTTGCTTCCTCATAAAGAAAGCTGTTTTTTAGTTAAAAATTTATTTTTTAGTTTTTTTTGCAAATATGTTCAAAATATTTTAGAACGTCGAAAAACACTTTTTCTTCAATGTGGCGTGTATGTGTGTAATTCAAAAGTGTGCACTACCTAACTTTTGCAAAGTTGGAGGTTTTGGACCGATGTTTTTTATATTAATAGAGAGTATTATTAAACGATGTTTGTTATTGATTTTGGTAATAATCGATGTAAGACTTCATTTGTCTCAAAATTATTAATTGTGCCAGAAATGTATGTTTATATTCTAAGAACAGTATTCATGGTTCGTTCTTTTATATTTCACAGAGCCTTATTAACATATTAAATCATTACCTGAATTAGTCTTGGAATAGATCGGACTACGAATACCGACTTTGTAAGATTTTGAGATATTTAGATAAATTTTTTAACACGAATAAAAGGATATTATTAAAGGATGGTTGGTATTGAATTTAGTGATAGTCGGTAAAAGGGTTATTAAAAATATTGTTTAATATTAATTTTGCGAAAAATAGCGTGCACGCTCTAACGTCTGCAAAGTTTGAGATATCAAGCAAATTTTTATTATTAATATCATTCAAGGATGATTAGTATTTAATTTGGTAATAATTCAAAATGATTTCATCAACATTATTAGAAAAAGGTATAATTACATTATCAAAGAAAGGTGCAAATTGGAAATTTGCACACTGCTTCCTCATCAATTTAATTCGTTAACACAGCTCTTCCTAAGTTATTTTATAAATTGGGTTTACTCACAGAAAAAGATTTTTTGGCAAATTAAAAATTTGCATTATTAAAATTTGATTAACAAGCTTCCTCCATGAGAAAGCCCAGATTTATAAAATACCTTACCCTTAGGAAAAACTGTGTTAACGAAATACGTAAACTGATGAGGAAGCAATGTGCAAATTTCCAATTTGCATATTTTTTATTATAATAATGATTAATTGATTAATAATCTACCATAGATTATTAAAAATATGTGTATTAGCCATGAAATAACTTTAGAATTGTCAATAAATCTTTTATATTCTCTTTTTATATTCTATTTTCTTTGTGAGAACGATTATGATTAAAGTACGAGTATTTACAAATTTTCTATGATCGCATTTACAATAATTTTTTATTCGCAATGTACTGTGATTGTCTGTCTTGTTCACTTATTGTATGTTAATATTATGTCTTCTAAGAGAACTTTATTATTTCAAGGAATTCTTATTTCAATATTTGCAAGTGTTTGATAGATTTAAATTTATAAATCACATGTCAAATTTTTTCTGTACATTTGATTCGTATACTTTTAGTGCATTTAATCGTTGAAATCACGGCTTGTGGAAATTTTGGACACTTGTATAAAATTACGAAATTTTTAAACGTGACTTTAATATTTCACAATGATCTATTATCTTTTTCATATTTGATTTATTCTTAATCTCTAAAACGTCTAAAATTCCGAAATTTTCTGTAAGTGAATTGGATTTTAATTTCTAAGATTTTACAATGAGAAGATATCTGAAAATTATTCTATGTTAAATAATAAATATCCAATTTATAAATATCAGAATAAATATTTCTGAAATTTTATATAGTTAAGAAGATTCAAAATTATACGACAATATTAAGCGTGAAGGTCCATCTGAGCCCTAAAGTGCATCAGGTAGTTAAAGCACATTCCGCCGAGTCCCTTTAACTTTCGAATTCTCGCTTTTACCAGCACAAAGGCACTCGTGTATTGAGCTGGGTCTCCTGCTTGACAGCTTCATTTCACCCTAAGTGGTTTCGCCGTGTCGCATCCGCATCGCGGACATTAATCAGGGGATTGCCTGAATGTTTCAGCAAGTGCGTTGAAGGCATCCTACCGTAACTCATACTTACGTAACCAATCGCATTAAGTTACCGCTATCTATGATAAACTGTTTCATTTGTTTGACACTTTGAATTTTTAATTATTTGCGCCATTGATCCGTTCACATTTGCCACATGTCGTTTCCTTTGTAATTTCATTGACATTGGTAATATGACGTTAATATCACAACTATGTAAAATTAAAGATTCCTTGAATTAATTAAAGCGAGATATTCGTTCTTAATAAAAGTACCTTTGTGTTATGTACTCAAAGCGTTCTCGTTCATTTAAATGAAGAAGAGAAAGCTCAGTAGAATTACTCTCGTTATTTATCGTAAAATTATTAAAATTATAAAGAATGGTTGAATAATTTTCTTTTAATATTCACTCGAATTCTTAGTCTGACTATCTCCGACAAATATTAAATGATCAATTTTGGATCTAACTTTATGCGCAAATAACAATTCCACTTTATAATTTATATTATAAAATAATTAGTTTATATTTAGTTTTTCCAACATTTCTCACAATTTTATTTGTGAAAATATAAAAATTTATTTAATGTTAACCAAAATATCGATTTAACCAGAAAAAAATTGCATTTTGTTACAAAAGATAGATCTGACAAAATAATACATGTAACATTAATTATCCATTAAAATTTTTGTATATTTGATATTTGTTTGTGTTATCGGCAAAAGATTGGGCTGATAAATGGTGAACTTTCCTTTTTGTTACCAAAATAAGTGAGAATCAGTGCAGATTGGAATTTTGCGATTTACACTTGAAAATCTTTATTTGAAAATTAAATTAAACAAAATGTATATTATGGAACTATAACCGACCGGATTAAAATAATGTAAAATATAGAGGTATAAATTTTACGATCTTTGGAGTTTAGAAATCTTTGGATTTCAACAAATTTATAAATTAAAATCTTTATATTCTTAAGCCTTAAAACATTAAATCTAACACATCATCGAATTATTAATTTCTTCAAAAGTTTTATGCATGAAATGAAATATTGTATCGTAAAATTGCTATTTCAGCGCCATGTAATATTATCAACTGCTGCTTACAGCATGTAATTTACAAAAGCCAATAACATGCAATTTACAAAAGCCAATAACATGTAGGTAGAACAAAAACGTTCGGAGAAAAGACGGAGAGAGAGAGAGAGGTATCAAGTGACTTGATGTCATCAAATTTGCATAGCAGCCGACTTGTGAATCGTTGTTGGACAATTGTACTGAATTTCAACTACAGGCTCGCTTGCGATTCTTTCGTTTGCGAGACCCTATTTTCACAAACGTGCCAATTCTACGCAAGCCGGGAGAAAAGACGCGACTAGCGCACGATTTTCGAGACGCGTTTACGCATCTGATCACGAACAATCCGTTCCCAATTTCCTGGCATGAAAATTCGCGCGCCAACGGACGTCCGGTGCATTGGAGAAAAAGCTTTTTGCCGACAGCTTTCATCGATATAGATGATGTAACCGCAAGTCGATGCGTTCTGCTTTCGCGTCCGCCTAACTGAAGCGGAAGTAGATGTTATATGCCAGGTTATATGCCCCATATCTTTTTTCTTCTAGTAAAGAATTTCCGGGTGAGAAGCATGGTTGCGGTGAATTTTTCTCTTGTGCTTTCTCGCATTTGTCTCTTCGAACAAGCGTATCGATATATGCGTTATGTTCCTATTGTAATTGTGTCTGACATTTTTTAGGTCGGTTTTGTATTTGCGTTAAAATTTTCTCAATGGCAAAATATTCTCAAATCCTGTTTTTTTTCAATTTATTCTCTATTACTGAGAAAAACCGTAATATTTTATTCAAGATTTAATAGAAAATATTGATGTTAATATAAATTTACAGCATTTAATCATATAAAAATTTCATACGTATGTGCGTGTACGCTTTTTCTTTTTCATTTATTTTAGTTAAGCTCAAATTATGCAAAATATATAAAATATATATAGTATAAACTAAAAAATACATGCATATTTATTAACTAGATGCAAATATTGTACATTTAAAACAGTTATATTCATAATATGAATATTTCATTAGAATGTCGATTGAAATTTATTCGATTTACTTGTTGTATAAGCAACTAAAAATATTCACGTGGCGATCAATGATGACTGTTGTGTTTTGAACTGTGTTATAGCTCCATCTCTAACAATTAGCGACGACTCTGGACGTATAGTTTCCAGGGAAAGGCATCTGAAAGCAGGCAGTGTCCTCAGACTCAGGTGTGAGGCGAGAGACGTACTTGAGACGCTCAACGAATCGGTAATTTGGACCAGAGGAGACGAGACACTTACAGAGGACATTAGGTAAGTGCCTTGAACAAATCATAGCGTATTGCAACCGTTTGTTTCCATTTTGTAATAGTTGCCATTATACTTTATATACCTAGATCGTATAATATTATTTCAAAAAGTAAGTTTTCTTAAAATAAATTTTCGCGAAACTATACAATAATAGTTGTGTGTCGCCAAAAACTTATTTTCAAATCCGTTTTGTTCTCCATCCTCTGTCCATATTTTCTATTATTTATATAATAGCACTTATTTTTAAATAGCATCTTAAGGCCTTGCTTGTATTTTATACTAAATTTGAAAATATTGTGCAAAAGCAGCTACGAGTTTTTTATCATGATTAATTTTAGAAAACTATAAAAGTCTTTGTATTAGAAATCCCGAAAAGATATTTTCTATATTGTTTGGTTTCAAATCTAGAGACCTGCTCGCTTTAATACAAAATGCATTACTGCCAAGAAGTAAAAATGTAAGTATAATGTCGTCGCGAATTTCTTTGTCGTAATCGATTTAAGATGACACGAGACCTTGCGCGGTTTTACAAAGAAAGAAAGAAACGACGCCTTTTCTCGAACGATTCTATTGCAGATCTGGCGTAAAGTAGGTTTTTAATTAAATTATCAAATTGTGACAAAGCTGGAATAGACAAGTGCTTCGAGGTTTGCTCGAGATCTACATTCTTAAAAGAAACGAAAATTTCTCATCTCACTATTCCCTCGGTCTTCCATTCTGTTTTTGCCTTTTTCTGAACGATAATTGGGATCTAAAAATTCTGCATTATTCCCCAACATGAATTGAGAAATAAAGAATTGTGTCGTACCGATTTTTATGGATTTAAAAACGCATAGATGTTTGTAAGAGTTTTGTAAAATATCTACATTTATTTTATACCTAGATTATACATACTTCTTCATATATGTACAGTACCGGCCAAAATTATATCACCTTTAGGTTTTCCAAGCATAACTTTCGTCAAAGTGCATCGAATGTGCTAACAATTGTACAGTAGACACCTGATAACAGGTGCATCTTGTAATGTACGGGAAGGGTAATGAAATTTTACAAAATACACCATGATTTTCGAATTTTTCATTTGTGCACTTTAAAACTAGTTACGCTGAAAAAATCAAAAGGTGATATAATTTTGGCCGGTACTGTGTATATGGTTGTAGATTCTTTTATTAACACAATTTTGTAGAAATAAAATATTGAAATATTTTTATTCGTATACTAAAAATAATAATCTTCATAGATTTTCTGTTAGAACCACGGAGCAATAAGGCGTTAATGCACGCTTGGAATATAGGCGAATATTCACGCTCGGTGCAAACACGATCGTACCCCACTTTATAGTTCTACAATTTCTCCCCCACGTAGAAGCGAACGTCTTTATGTACTTTATAAACACTTCATATCGATAGCTCTCTCATATCAATTTACAAAGAAAAGTATGTGATATACATCTAAATGAAACAGCATTGCTGTAATAATGATCGCGCGCGTGGTTCTAGCTTGTCACTTAATAGTTTGTCGCTTATACTTGGCGCGAGACACTACCGTGTCTCGTGATATCAGCCTTGAAAGAAGATTTTTCTAATCTACTTGTAAGTTTTTATTCGCATGATATTTTATTCTAACATAATTTTAAGGACTTTTATTTATTTCTTTCTACTTTTACAATACGTAAATATATAAAAAATTGTTAATTATTACATTAATCAATTTGATAAAAATTGAATCATAAAATTTTAAGCGACAACTTTTTTTGTAATCAAGTGCGATTAATGTACATACAAATCTCAATGGTAGAAATTTTTTATACGTGAAGAAATGAAGTGCTAAAGGTAATTTTCATACAATTTGCAAATCTTTTCAAATTATATCGGAAAACTAAGTTTTAGCTCTGTTCTTTATTGGCTTTAGTTTCCCGTGAAGTATAAATTCAAATAATATGCTCTCACGATAAATTCATCACTCAGTCCCGAAACGAGTTTCTTAATTAAATCGCCGGGCAACGTCTAGTCGAAATCGACATGCAGCAGACTAAGAATTTCTCCAGCATTTTATGTTCACTCAATGAGATCATTTCCAGTCCTGTTCTTCGTAGCTGCTTAACGATAACACAAATATACAGAGGGTTTTATGTTCCTCTTTCTTCTTTTTGTAAACTTATATAGAATAGATATTTTCTCAACAAAACATAAAGATAGTAATTTAAAAGTAAGCGATCGGAAATCTACAAATCTACAAATTGATCTTTGAAAGCGCAAATAAATAAAAAAATCTCATTCGTTATTTAATTTGATGTGTAAAATTTTAATTTTAAATGTAAATATATAAATTTTTTACCTTTTTTTATTACACTTAGAAATAATAATGTCCAGTATAATTTTAATTTGGTCATTAAATCATATTGTGCTTTATTAAAAAAATTGTCTAGTAAAGACACAATCTTGGAATTAAATTAAGAATTTGACTTTAAGAATGAGAGCAAGAGAGAGATTAAATTTTATTTATTTAAGCGCTTTGAGATTAAAAATAGAATTCAAGTGAAAGAATTCGTAGACGGGATTCGTAAAAGGATCCAGAAACATTCTATACATCCGCGTATTCCGTATTGTATATCAATGTGAACTGGACAGGAAAGAGAAACGTGGATAGAAACTCACGGTTCGATTTCGTTTCCAGCGAGAACAGAACGACAGAGATCTCGGCGGGCAAGGAGGTCCTCGTGATCGTCAGTACTCTCATCGTGGAGAGAGCCAGCCCCAGACACGCGGGGAACTATAGCTGCATGGTGCCCGGCAAAGCCAAGACCACCGTCGCGGTCCACGTTCTTAACGGTGAGTACGTCCTTTACGTGCACACGTGTGCCGACGTTACAGTCTTTACCTGTCGCCCGTCCTGAAAGGAAAGAGACAATTCAGCCGGCACGTCGCTCGTTACTTATCAAAGCGAAACGAAGTTCCCTCATAGCCGAGGGAACGTCGGATCAGACTGCGCACTATGGATTAACAATTTTCAAACTCGGATCGTCATGACCGAATGACGATTTCGTTTCTTCAGTTCGTTTCCACGACCTTTTCGTTCGACGGTTTCCGCTTTGCAACGGAAGCGCGAGCCTTCCACGTACAAAGCTACATTTCTAAGCTCAAACGAACGATTGCGTCAAGGCATGTCAAGTCTCATAGAAAATTTCAAAGTTACTACAGTTACTCGCAGTTCACTTTTAAGGGCGACTTTAACTGCACGAAAAGGAAAGATATATGTTTTATATGCAGTCTAGGTGTGTGTTGGTATGTATCTGGAAAATTTTACGGCAAAGAGGCAATATTCTTTGAGAAAATATTCTTTCTTATTAAAATTCTTGGAATCCTTATCGATCGACTTTCTTCGTGCAATCAAAGTAGGAAATGTTAAAATTCCACTGTCAAACATCGCAAACATGTTTATTGTAATAATTAATGCGTTTCCTTTCAAATATTTCGTCTGTCTATAACGTTGAAACCCCATGAAAAAATACACATGTAAAAATATATTAAAAATATATGTAATATATGTAATCTATTTTCAAATATGTGTTATATAAATTGCATATATATACATATTTGTATATATAAGTGTATATATAGAAAATATTCGTATATTCTTGAGTACAATAAAAAAACTTCTTTACTTACATTCATCAAATATTTGAAACGGCAAAAAAATGATTTTATTTTATATACGCAGGCATATATTTCATATATATTCTAATATATCTGTTTTATATATTAGATTATGTATTACAAAATATATTTTGCATATTTTACGTAAATATATAGTATTTTCTTATATTTCTTCTATATCATATGCGGCAAAAAATGATTTAATTAGTTATATGCATTCTTATATTTTATATATACATTTATATGCATTAACGTATAAGTATTGATACATTATATAATATATTTTGGGATATATACTTTTTCATGGGGGGAATGTATGTATTTATAAAAATTACATATTTTAAGATTGAGAAATTATCTTTAACAATGGAATCGCCTTCGGACGAAGATAGTTCATTGTTTCCAACGTTTCCCTAAAACTTCAACAAACGTAACGAACAATTTTGTTCCTCTAAGTGCTTGTTAGTGTTTTTTTTTTATTAGGTTTCCACGTGGACTTTTTACACGTGTACCTTCGTTGCTTTGCTCGCGTCATTCCAGCGAGGGTGGAGCGAGTTTGCACGACGAGTCTGGTAGTTACTTATCAAACTTGAATGGACCTGCTCGTCGCGCAAAAGACGGCGGGAATACGAAACAAGGTATAAATCGTAGGGGATTTGCACGGTGATTACTCACGGTTGAGCCCCGCGGGCACGTTTTTCGCTCCCTGCTATTTCCGGAAACAGCATGCGCTAACCGCGGCGCGCAGCGCGGTTATACGACGGCCGCCGCCTTTCTCTTTCTGGCAATATAGAATGTTAATGTCGCTGTAGCTCTTCATTACGCCGCGCGGCTCTCCCACCGGTATTTCCGAAAATTTGCGAGGACGCTTAATTTATTCCAGCTGACCGCATTTGCGTGATAGGGAAATATTGTGCGTTTTGTCACGCGGCGCGCCCGCCCGGGGCTGCGCCACCAGAAAACAGCTTTCTCACGGCTCTAGACCCATCCGGCAACGAATTCAACGGGATGGATGTACCGAGTACTTTTCGCTTTTCCGAAAATGCCTGATTTATCAGCGAGCAGATATCTCGCGAAAAGCTTTCCCGCAGTCTCCGCGATCTGAATAATGAACACGTCAGATCTGAAATGAGAGCTACCGTAAAAAGATTTCTATCAATTATTTCGTAAGCAATATCCCGAGTTTTCCGATTCACCGAATCGATTATCGCCCGAGCTATGGCAAATGAAATATTCGTCGGAGAAAAGTGAATGCTAATGGCGAGAAAGCACTTGATCTTTTAAAAGCTTGATGAGAATCTCAAAGAACAGGGAAAGCCACTCGCGCGGATCTATGACGATATGTTATAGAACAAGACATTAATTATAAATCCGGAGGCAGTTTGCAATATGTAATACGACCGAGGCGCAAGGGCGATGAAGAAATCTCTTGTAAAGCGTACGTCTTTTCCGAGGCGAACATCAGTAAGATGGGAAATTCCTCTTTATCCCATAATGCGCTTAGCAGATGTACCGAAAACTCGGCGAGGAACTCGGTGGAGAGGAGAGACCGTGTTTCTTCGCAACATTATCCATTCAACTACTTGAGCCTGGCTCTCACACGACGTTCGGCTCGCGCTCGATCGCATCAATTCCAGAGCGCCTAATCGCGCCGCGATGTACAGAAAGGACGAAAACTATGTTTCTAGTTTCCGACTACTTAAATTTCTGCGAGGACTATTGCCGCTTTAATGAGTCTGTCGCGAGGATGTACAAAGAAGACACCATAGATCCCGAGTCGAAATATTGGTCCTATGTTGAACCTTTAAATCTATTATATAGTTTGACCTAAGACAGTAAAAGAGGTCGAACTCAAGTACAAAATTTACTCCCGCTTAAAAACTGATAGTGTCGGAAATTTCTATTTTTGCCAATTTAGCATTAAAGTAGGTCCTTTTAAGTAGGGGCTAAAATAAATTTTTAGAATTAAAGATTCAAGGGAGGAGTAAAAAATATAATGTCATCAAAGTAGGTTATTGCTGGTCTATGTAGGTGTATAGATCAGCTAAGTAGGTGTAAATTATCCTTAAGTGTCAAAATAGTATCAAAATTTCGACTCGGGATTGGCGTACACCATATAATACAAGACCGCGCATTGGTTAAGCTAAAGAAACTATTTCTCTGAGATTAAATAAAAGTCCAGTAAGGTAAAAATTCAAACAAATTTATTTGATTTCGAACAAACTTTTTTCTGGGTGTGCGTGCGATACAGTAATTCTGTAATTCTCCCTCGAGGGAAAATAGGCTTCTCTGTCGCATCGCAAGAGACTCTATCCTTGTCCCGCAACAGCCAGAGCAATAGAAACATGCGCGGTCCAGTAATATATGGTCTATGGGAGACACAGTTATATTGTATTGTCTTTTCCACCTAAGTTTGATTTGACTACAATTTTAATCATATATAAAAAGGTTGTATGAAATGTGATTTCATAAGATATAAACGAACATAATTGAATTCTCGTTGAGGTTCCGTTTCGAAAAAGAAGAGTGATAATCTTCCGGAGCTTTCAGTAGAGACAAAATCCAGTAATAGCACTTCGGAAATATATCTTATCTCATCATACAAAAGAAGAACGTCTTTTTACAGCTCGTTCTACGGTAAAAGATAGAAGGGCGTTGATCCCTAAAGCTTTTAGTCGTGATCGCCGAAGAAAAACAGAAGCAGAGGAACAAACAGCGGGATCTTATAGTATTGATTGAATGTAATATACAGTAAATATTTACAGTAATAATATTTACAAGAAAAACATGATTTCATGACAAAATTATAAAATTTTTCTAGTATTTTGAATGAAGAATAGAGCTGTTAATTGGAATGGAACTTGGAAATATGATTTTTGAAGTGTATTTTCGTGCACGTAATACAAGAAAATCCCATCAAGAGAAAAGCACCAAGAATCGGAGAAGAATAAACAACTCACGAAACTTACGCCGTTAGCTACACACAATACAAATATGTTTACGATAAAATAATGTTATTTAAAAATCATAGCTTGATTTTTATCACACGTTTTATTGAAAGCAAGAAACTTTTTGGATCTCTGTAGCTGTTAATGTATATACGAGTATAAACGTATAAACTAAAAATGGAAGCACGATGCGCCCGATATGATAAAATTCTATTTTATTAAAACGATTGCTTCTGTAGTAAGAAACGTATCCAAGGGCAGTCGATGCGAAATAGAAGAAAATAAAATAAGAGAATAAGGAATACGAGATGCAACTGCATCGAGAATATAATCAACTTGGAGTTTTCAGCAAGACGACTTATGTATACCCTGCTGAAAACTCGATGCAATATTTAAAGTCGTTGCGAGGAATCAGATGACGTATCTCTCTTCCCGTGAGAAACAGAAGGCACGGTTTCGTTGACAGGATCAATGCACTTTTAGCAACGTTAAGCGAGGACAGTCGGGGCTCGGAAGACGCTACGTCCGTTTTGATGTAGCTGACGGTGGCACAAATCTTTTGATACTTGGACAATGCACAATGCGCATTGTACTCCTTTCTCGATGGCCCATAACGAAACCTGCGCGTTTGCCAAGACGGCGAGAAAAAAAGGAGGGCCTCCCTCGCGAGGAAGGGCCGATGTTTTCTCGCCGAAATATCTGTATTCTCGAGATGAACAGACACCGATAAGAGAATGGGAGATAAGAAGAGAATATACGAAGGCGCAGCGTCCGTTTCCTTCTTTCTCGCGGACATAATACGCGCTGCTTTCAACGGCTCGCCTTCGTTTCGAAGCCACTTCTTCTCAAAAGTAAACTCGGCGCAAGGAAATCTTAATCTTTCGTGCGCCTGTCATAATCGCGAAAACGCACCTTTGATCTTCCTCAGCCGTGTCATCGCTTCATTCCTCGCGAGTGCGCTCGCTGCTGTCGCAATAGTATCGCTTCAATTTCGCGAATTACGTTTCGTCAAGATTAATCTCTCGAAATATTTTAACCAGCGCGCCGGAGAAAAGAAACATCATTTTTCACTTGTTATCATTTCACGTTTGTTATGTATAAAACTTCATATTTCTTCAATCCAAAATAAAAGTACCAGGTCACGTATGAGCGTAATGCATACTTTCAGTAAATTTAGAAAACTTGGTAAAGCACGGAAAATGTATAGGGACTCGCTTTTTTCCGATT